ACTGTCTCTTTCTGGAAAGAAATGGTGCAGCTGGGCTGAGCTGGCCATACCTCAGTGTAGCAGCTGTAGTGAAATGCCACTAATTACATTCCTGAAGAGCAACTACCTACACAAACAGGGCCGGCTCTAGGTTTTTTGCCCAAGCAAAACATTTCCTGCCCCAAGCTCCGAGAGCGCAACTGCCCCAGAAAAAAAAAAAAGGAAAAAAGGTGGCCGGAATGCCGCCCCTGGAATTGTGCTACCCCAAGCACGTGCTTGCTTTGCTGGTACCTAGAGCCGGTCCTGTACCCAGAGCCATTTCCTGTTCATCTATCTGCAAAGCATAAATTTATATTGAGTTTCCCTGACTCACACAGAGAGAGAGAGAGAGAGATGATGGTTCTCCACACTCATGAAGAATTTATTAGCTCTTTAGCCTCTACATTTGCTGTTTCTATGAAAAATGCACAGATGGATGAAGCACCTTTCTGGGACATAACTATTTACTCCACTCCCATTAGCAAATGGTTTGTTAATGCTCAGTAAAGGTTCCACAAGAGTTACATTAAGGTCCCAGGACAGGGAAAACTCCTGAATGGAGGGGATAGGCACGAACCAGTCCTTCTACAGTATGTCTACATTGCAGCTGAGAGGTGAGATTCCCAGTACAGGTAGACAGACTCCTGCTAGTCTCACTCAAGCCAGCACCCTGAAACTAGCAGCATGGACATTAAAGCATGGGCAGAGTCTCGGGCTACCTGCCCGAGTCAAAGCCTGGCCAACCTTCTGGGTCCAGGCTCAGGTGGCTATGCTGAGCTGATCATAGAATATCAGGGTTGGAAGGGACCTCAGGAGGTCATCTAGTCCAACCCCCTGCTCAAAGCAGGACCGATCCCCAATTAAATCATCCCAGCCAGGGCTTTGTCAAGCCTGACCTTAAAAACTTCTAAGGAAGGAGATTCCACCACCTCCCTAGGTAACCCATTCCAGTGTTTCACCACCATCCTAGTGAAAAGGTTTTTCCTAATATCCAACCTAAACCTCCCCCACTGCAACTTGAGACCATTACTCCTTGTTCTGTCATCTGCTACCACTGAGAACAGTCTAGCTCCATCCTCTTTGGAACCCCCTTTCAGGGTGTTGAAAGCAGCTATCAAATCCCCCCTCGTTCTTCTCTTCCGCAGACTAAACAATTCCAGTTCCCTCAGCCTCTCCTCATAAGTCATGTGTTCCAGTCCCCTCATCATTTTTGTTGCCCTTCGCTGGACTCTTTCCAATTTTTCCACATCCTTCTTGTAGTGTGGGGCTCAAAACTGGACACACTACTCCAGATGAGGCCTCACCAGTGTCGAATAGAGGGGAACGATCACATCCCTCGATCTGCTGGCAATGCCCCTACTTATACAGCCCAAAATGCCATTGGCTTTCTTGGCAACAAGGGCACACTGATGCCTGTGCTGCACTGTCCACACTACTGTTTTTTGCACACTAGTGTGAAGCTGTCTACCCATGCTGGGAATGACATCTCCCCGCTGCAGTGTAGATATATCCTTAGAAATTCTGAAACAGTGGAATGAGAGAACACTGTATGAGTTTGAATTGGATGCTAATATGGCAACTAAATGGACCCTGAGAGAGCCAATGGGGAGACCTTGAAAGTTGAACTGGAGGATGCAATCCAGAACCTTGAAAACAGAAGCTTGTAATGGGCTGAAACCTTGGTTTGAAGCTCAGATGGAAAAATCAGAGGTTATGTAGTGAAGGAAGCTGTTGTCCTTGTCTCATTTGTTGCAGAAGCTGGAATGTGCATCGAGAATGAGGCAGGGGATGGTATGAGACATGGTCATCTCAGGGTTAAGGCAACTGAACGCCATCCTGGAAAACTGGGTTCTATCCCTGCCTCTGCCCCAGAGTTCCTGTTCGATGCTGGACAAGTCCCTTAAACCAGAATTCTCAGCTGGCCATTAACTGTGTTTTCTCACTTTCTGGCTCCCCAGTGTGAGATACAAGGGGCTAGGTTTTTAGAAGGGCTGAACACTCACAACTGCAATTGAATTAAATTTGAGCTGTGTTTTGAAGATATGAAGTGCAATTAAATGCAAAATACAATGAACAATCAGGCCTTGGGTCTCAATTTGACACCCAGAATTAGTGGACTCCTTTGATAATTTTGACTTTAAATCTGTGGCTCCGTTCCCCAGCTGTAAAATAGGGATAATACCACCACCTAAGACTGATATGGCAACCACCCGATCCCAGCCAGCTGGGAAAATGGGGAGGAGAAGACAACAACGACCTAATCTCACAGGGGTGCTGTGAAGATAAATTATTTAATATTTGTGAAGCACATGGGCCTGGATGCACAAACAGAGTTAGATGTTGACACAGACCATCATGGTGCTTAGTTTTTAGGCACCTAGAAAAATACTGTGATTCACAAAGCTTGAGTTAGGTGCTGAGGCTCCTATACAACACATGGGGAGAGAGAGGCACCTCAGAGTGCAATTCACAGAAGCCAGTAGGCTAGGCAGGGAGCCGCCTAAGCTACTGGGTGGGAGATGGTGACCAGAGAGTGGAGTGCTAAGTGTTATTCCTCTCATGGAGATAGATGGCTCCCTGCAGCCTGGACTTAGGTGCCTGTGTATGCTAGGAATTCTCAGGTGTGAGCCCTCTCCTGGAGTTAGGTGCCTATGGCACCTGAGGTGGAAAAGGGATTTGAACAGGGATCTGTCACATCTCAGGGGAGTGCTCAAACCATGGGGCTATGGGATATTCTGATGTGGGGACTCCCTCAATCTCTCCTGTAGAAGCTGTTGCACTGATTTAATCCTGAGGTCAAGTGTACCAAATGGGACCAGCACAACGAGACAAGGCAGCCAACCCAGCTCTGCCCAGCCTGATAGACAGAGGCGCTGACTCCGTGGATGCTCCAGGGCTGGAGCACCCAGGAAAAATATAGTGGGTGCTCAGCATCCACCGACAGCCCTGTTGATCAGCAACTCCCCATTCCCCCCCAGCACCTCCTGCCCACTGTGGATCAGCTGTTCAGTGGCAGGCAGGAGGTTCTGGGGGAGGGGGCGGAGCAAGGGCAGGAAGAGGTGGGCTGGGGCAGAGTGGGGGTGGGAAGAAGCATCCGCTGGGAATGCTTTATTGAAACTAACCTGAAAGTGAGGCTTCACTAGAGAGGAAGGGTCCTCAAACATTTAAAGGGACTGGATGTCACACCAAGGTCTCTGTTTTCCAAACCCCAAACCTTGTTCAACACTATTTAATGTTGGAGAGTGACAGGGTCATATTAACACCTTTGACTCTTTGGGCCCTTTATTCCAGCTACATTAATACAACAGGGCTCAGGCATACACTTTTATCAAGTACTTGTGGCACCTTAGAGACTAAGGTGCCACAAGTACTCCTTTTCTTTTTGCGAATACAGACTAACACGACTGCTACTCTGAAACTTTTATCAAGAACTTTAATCCACTCCTCTGTCCAGCAGTTCCGGTTTCTCCTATCAAGAGTCACCTGCTAACATTGCTCCCTCTCTGACTGAACTCTGTATTCTTCAGCCACCCAGAAGCTTCCCCTCCGCACAGGTAGTAGACACTTTCAGTGAACACATCAGTTTTGGAACTGTATGGATCAAGCCCTTCCAAACTTCATTTATTTCAACTCACAGTTTATGGTTCTTCCAATTCCTGGCTATATTAAATATTGCAGTGTAATAATACCCTGAATTGAGGGACCTTTATCCTCTTCCTTATTCTTCATTCCCAGCTCTGCTGGTAATGGTTAGTGGTGGGAGCTGGAGTGCCTTTTATCTGATCAGGGTGTATTACCATCACAAAGATGAGCATTCTCCCTAAGGCCTCCTTTCTCAAACAGTGCAGAACCCTGCATAGCTACCCCACTGAAAGGAAAGATCCCTTTAGGACAGACAACTTTTGAGGGGACGGTAGAACAGTAAGCTTGGCTTTCTAAGTGCTTAGTTGTATAATTTAGCAGCTCTGGGATGAACAGTACGTGATTTGGTCAACACTGGCATAGTGAGGTGGGGTTGACTGAGTGCAGTCAGGGGTACAGATTGTTGTCTGTAGCAAAATGTGTTCAGCATGTGCTATGTTGCAGCCCAGGTTTGTGAGAGCAGGCAGAGTACAAACCTTTGCTATTGACAAACGCTGCTCACATAACCAGTAATTTCCTCAGGAGAATTTAACTGAAACATCAACTGCTAATCGGAGATATGAAGGAGTTTGTCAGAGCAAATACCTAAATATGAGAGTGCAATTAATTTGGCCTTCCATTTCATAAGCTCCTGTCACCAAATTGAGCGGTGGTGCAGGATTTCTCTCGCTGAATATAACTCTTTGAATTGCTTGTTTAGAGAATTGCCTGTACCCATTCACTATGAAAGCAGGAAGCTACAAACAGGAATGAATAGGGATTTCTGGTTCTGCAATTTCTTATTGTTGTTGCTTTAATTTCCATTGCTGAGAATGCCCCTAGAGATTAGGAGGAAGCGTGCTTTAGTAGTACTGCCAGCCAGCCAAAATAACATTTAGCCCCTGGGGCTCTAGTCACTCCTTGGGTTCCACCGAGTAAGTTGTGTTATGTGCCCCTGTTGGCAGAAAATCTGGGACTAGTGCAAGTCACACACAACCCCCTCTGCTGAGAGACCAGGAGCCAGTTAGTGTCACCCAGAAAATGAGAGGGCAGCTGGAGAGGTAGTATGGATGAGGGCATCCAAAAAATGCACTGATTCAGCACATCCTCTGATCAAGCTTTGAAGATGAGTCTCCAATAGAACCAAGCCATGAATTAAAGCTGCTCACCCTCTGTGGAGCTCCCTGGGGATTGCACTGGTACAAAACTTGTCTGCCCTTCCTTGAATGCCTCTGCAACGTCCCACCTGTGAGGTTTGTTACATGCTAGTGACGAGCAGCCACTCGCATATTAAAAGGACATTTGATGATTGTATTGCTCTCCAAATGCATAACCACATTGTGCTCCCTCTCTGCACTTACCATCACTGCTGACCTCTTCCTCAGCATGTATGCGCCACTCCACATCCTCTGACTCCAGCAAGTCTCCTTGTGATATCTCTATGATCTGCAGTTTCCGCAGACTCACCAGGTCTATCTCTCTTAACCCTGTTTCCAGTTGTTTCACCATGTCCTTGCCTGGCTGACTAGTCAAAACTGTAATCTGAAACAGAAGGCACAGATCTAATGCAGTAGCTACCTCCAACTGCCAGGACTGCCAGAGATATCATGCCCAGATGCTGTTTTAGCAGAATACAGTAACTAGGAAAGCCCCTCTAGAACACCCCCGCCCTCCCCATGCAAGAGCAGATGCAGAGGCATTTGGTAAGATTTGGTTTAATGTAAACCAACCTGAACTGGATTTGGGAATTGTAATTTTATTATTATTGCCACCATGCGTGCAGGGAGCCCAAAGAGGCCCATGTGACACCATGGCAAGGTGTGGAGCAGGGATCACTATAATTAAGTGCTGATGTAACCTTGTTTTGCAAAATGGCACTGTTGCCAATTCTTGTGCTTTGATTGTGAGTCGGTGGGAGTTGGTGTATTTCCTAAACATCAACTCCTGAAGTCAAGTGATTACATAAACATCTCTGCTTTCACTTAAAAAAAATCTAGTACTCCTGGTTGTGGAGAAAAGCTTGAAAATGTTATGTGAGTGTACCCTGAAAGGTCAAAAATACAGAAGATATACAGAAAGAGCTCAACAATTATTACTTTAAAAGGATTTTTAAGGCAATCTCGGTTTTTGTGGAGCCTGACTCATGATTTTGGAATGGCTGGAATTGTCAGTACTAAAATGGTTTCTATATTAAGTTACTGTCCCTTTGTGATGGGGTATGCAAACCCCAAACTGGGGCCAGACAAGGTTGAAGGACAGTACTGGGCTTAGGGAACCCTGCCAAGCATGCTTTAGCTGGAGACAGGGTTGAAAAGGGAGCAGCCTAGCTCAGAGGGGAGGCTGGGAAGAGGACAGACCTACCCTGAAGGCTCCTGACAAAAGGTCTGGAGAAGTCTCCTTGAAGGAACAGGACTCTATGCTGAGCTGGGTTGGGGCTGATGGTTTGGTTTCTTTTGTCTCATCTGGGACCAGAGGCTGAGGGAGGGAAGGAAGTAGTGGTAGGAAGTGATCCAGGTAGGGTGACTCAAAGAGCCCCTTCAGAGCCCAAATGCTGCTGATCCTTATAGGGCCCTGGGTTGGAGCCTGGTGGAGTGGGTGAGCCTGGGCTTCCCTACCCTCCCTCCCACCACTGGGTGGGCACTAATCACTAGGCTGCCTAGCCCTCCAAGGACCCTCTTACACTCTTTAAGTGGAGCTGCTTCCTAGGAGTGGGAAGGAGTTCAGAGACATTCCATGGCATTTAGGGGCAGCACGTCAACTGGCAGCAAGGAGCAGTTGCCAGGAGCTCTTGGGAAAGAGCTGAGTTGATTTACCCCCCTGCCCTTTGTTCCAGCTGCTGCTGCCACTTCCCAGAGGAAACAGATGGATAAAGGCCAGTGCTGTGCTGCCAGAACATGAGCAAAGGGCTCCTCAAATGCTTTCTGGCAGGGGGCTGTGCAGGGAGCAGCTCCCCTCTGGTGGGTGGAGCATGTCCAGTTGGTGACTCGGTCCTGTGATGGGGTGTCCACCCCACACTCCCTCTGAAGGGGTTAATGGCAGCCAGGTGGGCCAATTAATCTATTAGGCTGAGAGGAAAGCCCTAACTAGGAGAAGCTCACCTGTGTGAGAACAGGCAGGGCTTCTATAAAGCCACAGAGCTGATAGCAGAAAAGGGGCTACAGAGAAGGAGTCTTTCACTCCCTGGGAGAAGGGAGGTGTGTTTGGGGGCTATAGAGAGAAGTAGCCTGTGGTTTTCCCTGGGAAGAGGGAATAGAGAGGCTGAAAAACCCTAGATAAGGGGTGGTGCCAGGGTAGGAAGCAGCCCAGCAGCTAGGTTGGAGACTGAACAGATCTTGGCTGCATGTTGTAGGGTCCCTGGGCTGGAACCCAGGAACAAACCATCCCACTGTGCAGAAAGAACAGTAAATATGGCAGGCAACCAGCTTGGCTTAACAGAGAAATCTTCAGTGAGCTTAAACCTAAAAAGAAGGCTTACAAGAAGTGGAAGCTTGGACAGATGACTAGAGAGGAGTATAAAAATATTGCTTGAGCATGCAGGGGTGTAATCAGGAAGGCCAAAGCACAATTGGAGTTGCAGCTAGCAAGGCATGTGAAGGGTAACAAGAAGGGTTTCTACAGGTATGTTGGCAACAAGAAAAAGGTCAGGGAAAGTGTGAGACCCTTACTGAATGGGGGAGGCACTAGTGACACTGGGTAGCAAAGTATGGGGAGGAGGTAAGCCACCCTCAGTAGTGAAAGAACAGATTAAGGACTATTTAGAAAATCTGGACATGCACAAGTATTGGGTCTGGATCTAATGCATTCAAGGTTGCTGAGGAAGTTGGCTGATGTGACTGAAGAGCCATTGGCCATTATCTTTGAAAACTCGTGGCGATTGGAAGCGGTCCCGGACGATTGGAAAAAGGCAAATATAGTGTCCATTTTTTAAAAAGGGAAGAAGGAGAATCCAGGGAACTACAGACTGGTCAGCCTCACCTCAATCCCTGGAAAAATCATGAAGCTGATCCTAAAGGAATCCATTTTGAAGCACTTGGAGGAGAAGAAGGTGATCAGGAACAGTCAACATGGATTCACCCAGGGCAAGTCATGCCTGACCAACCTGATTGCCTTCTATGACGAGATAACTGGCTCTGTGGTTGAGGGGAAAGTGGTGAATGTGATATATCTTGACTTTAGCAAAACTTTTGATACAGTCTCCCACAGTATTCTTGCCAGCATGTTAAAAAAAGTATGGATTGGCTGAATGGACTTTAGGTGGAGAGAAAGCTGGCTAGATCGTCGGGCTCAGTGGGTAGTGTTCAATAGCTCGATGTCTAGTTGGCAGCCGGTATCAAACAGAGTGCCCCAGGGTTGATCCTGGGGCTGGTTTTGTTCAACATCTTCATTAATGATCTTGATGATGGGATGGATTGCACCCTCAGCAAGTTCACAGATGACACTAAACTGGGGGAAGAGGTAGATATGCTGGAGGGTAGGGATAGGGTCCAGAGTGACCTAGACAAAGTGGAGGATTGGGCCAAAAGAAATCTGATGAGGGTCAACAAGGACAAGTGCAGAGTCCTGCACTTAGGAAGGAAGAATCCCATGCACGGCTACAGGCTGGGGACTGACTGGCTAAACGGCAGTTCTGCAGAAAAGGACCTGGGGATTACAGTGAATGAGAAGCTGGATATGAGTCAACAGTGTGCCCTTGTTGCCAAGAAGACTAACAGCATATTGGGCTGCATTAGTAGGAGCATTGCCAGCAGATCGAGGGAAGTGATTATTCCCCTCTGTTCAGCACTGAGGCCACATCTGCAGTATTGCATCCAGTTTTGGGCCCTCCACTACAGAAGGGATGTGGACAAATTGGAGAGAATTTTTGTTGCCCTCTGCTGGACTATTGGGGGCTGGGGCACATGACTTACGAGAAGAGGCTGAGGGAACTGGGCTTATTTAGTATGCAGAAGAGTGAGGAGGGATTTGATAGCAGCCTTCAACTACCTGAAGGGGGTTCCAAAGAGGATAGAGCTAGGCTGTTCTCAGTGGTGGCAGATGACCGAACAAGGAGCAATGGTCTCAAATTGTAGTGGGGGAGGTCTAGGTTGGCTATTAGGAAAAACTATTTCACTAGGAGGGTGGTTGAAGCACTGGAGGTGGTGGACTCTCCAGCCTTAGAGGTTTTTAAGGCCTGGCTTGACAAAACCATGGCTGGGATGATTTAGTTGAGGTTGGCCCTGCTTTGAGCAAGGGTTTGGACTAGATGACCTCCTGAGGTCTCTTCCAGCCTTAATCTTCTATGATTCTATGAACCCGCAGTAGAGGGTGGGCCTGGGTTCCCACACTAGCTACTGAAGGAGTGGTACTTGAGGCAGTGAATGGCAAGACTGCTGAAGGAAAGACTTTGATATACCCTGGAAGAGGGGAACACTGAGTGACCTGGCCAGAAGGCTGAGTCATGAAGAGAATGCTGTGGGCTCTGGGATTAGAGAGGAGATGCAGACCTGTGACGGAGAAGGTATAATGGCATGCACCCATGGGAAGGGGTGTTGGCCTTGACAGCTAATCCTTATAGTGAGCAAGAGGAGGCTCTAGCCACGTGGTGAGTGGTGGACCCCATCACAAGTCCCTTTTGGTTCTCAAGTGGGCAGGCCTCCCCTAGCAAATAGTAATTCTCTCCCTTCCCCTCCCCTTTCAAAGGATTATGGATATATCTGGATGGACTTTTATGAGGATACAAAGTCCATCCCTCTGGCCCCAGTCCTATCTCACTATTTGAGATCCATGCTCCAACCCATGGAGCCGCTAGAGCTTTTCCAGTAGAAAATTTTGTTGCCATTGGCAAAACTACCTGTTTTTCACTAGCCTGGTTCTTGGAAACAGATTGATTGTTTTTGTTCTAATGTTTAAAAAAAAAAACAAAAAAAAACAACCCCAGGCAGAGCTGAAACTTAGTCTATTTCAGCCCAAACAGTTAGTTTGCCAAACTGAGAAAAAATTAAAAGTTAGGTTATAATGGAAGGAATATATGCAACTATAACCCACACACTTTCTGAGCGGCAGCCAGTACATCCCTCGGCCTGCGCTGCTTCCAACAGCTCCCATTGGCCTGGAGCAGCGAACCACAGCCAGTGGGAGCTGCGATCTGCCAAACCTGCGGATGCGGCAGGTAAACAAGCAGGCCAGGCCCGCCAGAGGCTTTTCCCGCACAAGTGGCGAAACAAGTTTGGGAACCACTGCAGTAAGAGGCTCCTGCATTTAGTTTCTGAGGTTCAATCCCACGCGCTGACAACCGGAGTTTGTTGGCGTTACACAACCTTCAGATAGGTATCACTTCTATTGACGTCTAAAAATACAAGCTTAACTTTTCATGTGAATAGTGATTTTTTGGGTGTTAACTTGAGATACCTTAAAAATAGAGGGCTCTTTAATCTAGAAGAAAAAGGCAGTACAAGATCAAATCCCTAGAAGCTGAAGCTAGGAAAAGTTAAATTGAACTGTGAGGGGAATTAACTATTAGAACAATTTGTGTTGGGGTCTGGTGGATTCCTCATCACATGAGGTGTTTAAACCAACCCTGGATATCTTTCTAAATGTGGGTTTGAAGCAGGAATCACTTGATGAAATCAAGTCCATGGTCTGTTATGCAGGAAGTCAGACAAGAGATCCCTTCTGGTTTTATAATCTCTGAATTTATGAAAAAGAACCTGATTTTCAGAAGTACTGAGCACCTGCCCTCTGAAAATTAGGTCTTTTTAGGATGTCTCAAGTTGGGTATTCAAAAACTGAGACAGTCAATTACTTTTGAAAACTTAGGCCACTGTCTTTTTACAGTCTTATACACATGGATAGCTTTTTGTACTATGGTGTATACCAGAAAAACGGAAACCAGAAATCCTCTGTGAAAATTGCACAGTAATGTGTGCTTGCACAACACACTGTGGACTAATTTTAACAAACCAGAGGAACAGGGAAAATCTAGTGGAATATATGCCACCTACAGCTGTAGATCATTTAATATTGTAGTTAACTGTCCCATTCCTTCAGCTGCAGCAATGGAAGATTGTGCTGTGCATGTATTTGCAGTTAAATTAATTAGAGAAGGTAATTGAGTCATTCCCTGAATTACACCTACTCTATATTGCCCTCCAACACTGAAATAAACACCCCAAATCAGAATCACAATGAGCAGAAATTAAAACCCATCACTTATTTCCCCCCCCCCCAAATCCCCCTATCCTCTCATCACCAAATGGGGGAGGGTGGGAAAGTAGGAGGGGGAAGAAAGTAAAATTATGTAAGAATGAAAAACAACCTACGCATCTGCATCCAAGGGTAGAAAAAATGTATCTTTTATGGCATTATTAGAGAAATCATATTTACAATGTCATTATATAAATCAATGGGATAGCTTCTCCTTGGATCACGTGTTCAGTTCTGGTGACTGCATCTCAAAAATAATATAACAGAAATAGAAGGGATTCAGAGATGGGAATTACATTTAGATGCTTCAACAATCTTCCATATAGTGAGAGAGTGAAAAGACTGGAGCTGTTTACTTTAGAGAGGCAATGAATAAGAGGGGACACAATAGATGCCAAATGGTAGAGGATCTGTGTTTGGGTGCATGGGACAAGGAGTCCTACGGAAGTCTCAAGCTGCTGCTGAGAAAATGAAATGCTGACTATAAAGTTTTCTCTGTTTTCCAAATACTGATCCTATTTGCTTTTTGTACTGAAAATTGATTTAAAGATTGTGCTAAAATAATGATCTTTTTGTAGGCTTTTCCAGTTCTTTGCTACTGTGCCAACTAATCCCACAATAAAATGCTTTTCCATTTGAATTGGTGTTTTAATGAACTGTGGACATACTTTAAGCCACAACTAGGATCTTTGCACAAATGTCCCATTGATGCAAGTGGAAATTCCATCCAGGGAATATAGGCAGAACATGACCCTAGAATGTAAGTGTAGGCTGGCAATGAAGTCATATCAAAGAGTATCTTGTTTGCAGCTACACATAATGCATTTCACTATGATTTCATAAGAAATAAAATCAACTTTAAATAATATCCAGACTTGGATGCCTGGAGATTAACAGTGTACAAAATGGGACATTAAAATAATCAGCTAATGCTTGTCATCAAGTTGACTTCCCTCTCACAGCTAGGGCCATATTCCATGAGCGTATTGAATCTGTATGTGGCATGAGATCTTGGGCATCCTGCAGAGCAAGCTATGGGATTCCTCTTTTTTGGAATTGTTTTATGCTACTTACTTCCTCCCATGATGCTTAGATACCACAGTGACTGACACCTGAAATAGACAGACAGACTGCTCTTGATGGTTATTACTATCTCCCCAGCACTCAACTTGCCTCAACAGAACTGTTCACTGAGCCTCCTGCTAGCATATGTCTGGTGTACTGTTTAAACTGCTGGAGCCCATCCTGCACAGCCTGCATCACTCTGTCTCCCTTTTGTTGGAAAGAGCCTTCTCTTGGTAAGGAGCGAAGTTCTGAAATGCAGGTCTGAAGCCGAGAAAAGTTCCCTTTTACTTGCTGCAAAACAGCATTCAATGAAATTAAAGAGAAGACATTTAAAATGCAATAACAATTATTTTTTACACAATGCAGTTTGGTTGTAGAACACATTGCCCCAAGGTTACAGGGTTTAAAAAGGATTGGACAGTGATACGGATCACAAGACTATCCAAAGTTGTTATTGTAAAGATTTTCAAAAGTGGTGTAGCTTGGGGATAGGTAGAGTTTTGGGAGGACTATAAACCCTCTTGCTTCAGGACATGAGTCAATTAGGGGCTGGGAGGAAGTTTTTTTTGTTTTGTTTTTTCCTCTGTGGGCAGGTTATCCCATGGCTAACTGACTCCTGTGGAATTTCCTGAGCCTTCCTTGGAGGCAGCTGGTAGTGGCTATTGTTGCAAACAGGATAGTGGACTAGATAGACCACTTGTCTAAATCAGTCTGTCAATCCATATAGCTCCAGAGGCACAAATCACTACCGCAGCTGCATCCCACTACAACTGCTTGTGTTTTGTCTCACGTACGGATGTGTAGCAGGGCAGTTACCCGCTCTGGTGGACAAAGCTAGGCTGATTAGGGAAGCAGCCACACCTGGGACCATGCCCAATCAGGCCGCAGCTGGCCCTATAAAAGCACTGTGAGCCAGGACCTGAGTCCGTCTCTGTCCAGCCTTGGAGGGATGGGGATGCCTGGGGGAAAAGGGGGTACCTGATGCAGAGCAGAGCAGGGCTGGGAAAAGACAAGAGGAGCTGGGGAGCTCTGGCCTCGGGTAATGCCAAAGCAGGTACTGGGGCTACAGAGGTATAGCCTGAGGATAGGTAGAGGCAGCTGGTCCAACCCCTTTGCCAATGATGAGTGGCCATTTCAGACTGCAGTTTGCCCCAGTGAGAAGGGGGCTAGATGATGACTGGCAGTAGCCAATGAGGCAAGGTGGGCTTAGGGGGAGGGTGTTCCCCTGAGAGGGGAGACCCAGAGTGTGGGGGTACTGCTGTGACAGAACTCTGAGGTAAAGGGCACTGCGGTCCGGGAGGGACACAGGGGGCCTGAGGCAGGTGAGACACTGGCCAGGCAGAAGGCGCTCTGGGGCTGGAAAAAAGCTAATTCCCAGATGACCAGCAGGAGGCACCGAACTGGTGAGTGCGCAATCTTGCTACAGGGCGATATATAAAGGATATGATGCTTTATATGTTTCACAGCCTTCCCCAGCCTATTCTACATACTGCCCATGATCAAGGTTATCTAACACATGAACCCAATCGTGACTTTTCCCTAATGTAGACAGAGGCTAAAAACTTTTGCCTTGATATAGCTGGTTGAAGTGAATCCTAGTAGGGAGTCCTAGAGTTGTATGCATCTGATGAAGTGAGCTGTAGCTCACGAAAGCTCATGCTCAAATAAATTGGTTAGTCTCTAAGGTGCCACAAGTACTCCTTTTCTTTTTTCTAGAGTTTGTGGAATGTCTAGAGTAGCATTTACAAATAAGTCAATTAAACTACAATAGGAACAAAGTCTCTACTGTAGACGTACCCAGTGAGTGAATTGTAGTAAAATCTGGCCCATAGTATGTCTAAATTGCTGCTAAATGTACATTGAGGGGGCCAGCAAAAGTTATTTACATCAGTTTAAACTCCTAGACTAACTTTTGAATTTGGCCTTCAGTCTCCATTAGCCCACGGAACCAAATTGTGATCTGTTTTGGAAGCCACTGTGGAGTCGGGCACAATCATAGGACTGGAAGGGACCTCGAGAGGTCATCTAGTCCAGTCCCCTGCACTGATGGCAGGACTGAGTATTATCTAAACCAATAACAAAGTGCTTCTCCAGTTTTCTGCAGCTAAAGACCATTAACATTAAATGTAGAGCTAGCTTCTGATGCTACTCAATGTGAATAATGGTACTCACTACTCAGTCTGGGGAGTCTCCACTAACGTCAGCGTGATGCTGCTCAGTATCGGTAAACGTCAGTCTCTGGACCTAAATAACACTTCACGTTTTGGCAGAAAAAATTCCTTCTGCACAGACCAAGTGGGTTTTTACTAAATCTCACATTTAAGAGGGAGATCCAGGAATTTGGAGAGTCCCAGTAAGCCTCTGCAGGCCCCAGTTTGAGGAAACTCAGTTAAAAATATTTTTTTTAAAAACCAGGTCCAAGCTTTATGTGCTCACTCCAAAGACCTACTCTTGTAAAGTAAATTATGTTAAACTGCAATTAATTTGCTAGGGGCTTTAATCTGTAACGTTGTGCAGCTTTGGGTTAGTGGGCCCAGACTAGTGAATACCTAGAACAAACACTGGATTAGTTCTTAATCCCAAAGCTCCAAATCAAACACAATACCATTGTATTTGTCCCCAATCTCCTTTTGGTCTTATTGGGAGACTTGAGTCATAGAATCATAGAATATCAGTGTTGGAAGGGACCTCAGGAGGTCATCTAGTCCAACCCCCTGCTCAAAAGCAGGAGCCATACCCAATTAAATCATCCCAGCCAGGGCTTTGTCAAGCCTGACCTTAAACTTCTAAGGAAGGAGATTCCACCACCTCCCTAGGCAACGCATTCCAGTGTTTCACCACCCTCCTAGTGAAAAAGTTTTTCCTAATATCCAACCTAAACCTCCCCCACTGCAAGTTGAGACCATTACTCCTTGTTCTGTCCTCTTCCACCACTGAAAATAGTCTAGAACCATCCTCTCTGGAACTACCTCTCAGGTAGTTGAAAGCAGCTATCAAATCCCCCCTCATTCTTCTCTTCTGCAGACTAAACAATCCCAGTTCCCTCAGCCTCTCCTCATAACTCATGTGTTCCAGACCCCTAATCATTTTTGTTGCCCTTCGCTGGACTCTCTCCAATTTATCCACATCCTTCTTGTAGTGTGGGGCCCAAAACTGGACACAGTACTCCAGATGAGGCCTCATCAATGTCGAATAGAGGGGGACGATCACGTCCCTCGATCTGCTCGCTATGCCCCTACTTATACATCCCAAAATGCCATTGGCCTTCTTGGCAACAAGGGCACACTGCTGACTCATATCCAGCTTCTCATTCACTGTCACCCCTAGGTCCTTTTCCGCAGAACTGCTGCCTAGCCATTCGGTCCCTAGTCTGTAGCTGTGCATTGGGTTCTTCCATCCTAAGTGCAGGACCCTGCACTTATCCTTATTGAACCTCATCAGATTTCTTTTGGCCCAATCCTCCAATTTGTCTAGGTCCCTCTGTATCCTATCCCTGCCCTCCAGCGTATCTACCACTCCTCCCAGTTTAGTATCATCCGCAAATTTGCTGAGAGTGCAATCCACACCATCCTCCAGATCATTTATGAAGATATTGAACAAAACCGGCCCCAGGACCGACCCCTGGGGCACTCCACTTGACACCGGCTTCCAACTAGACATGGAGCCATTGATCACTACCCATTGAGCCCGACAATCTAGCCAACTTTCTACCCACCTTATAGTGCATTCATCCAGCCCATACTTCCTTAACTTGCTGACAAGAATACTGTGGGAGACCGTGTCAAAAGCTTTGCTAAAGTCAAGATACAATACATCCACTGCTTTCCCTTCATCCACAGAACCAGTAATCTCATCACAGAAGGCGATTAGATTAGTCAGGCATGACCTTCCCTTGGTGAATCCATGCTGTCTTTGACCTGCTTGGCACAATCATTTTCTAATTGGATTAAAGATGTTTATGTATGCACACTTCCACATTTAGTTTCACAATACCATATTTAAAGAGTACCCTGTCCCAACACAGTACTTGTTTTCTAAATAAAGGAAGCAGGGGAGGGGAGGAAAGCTAAATGGGGCAGAGGCAATAAAAAGAACCTGGAAGCTAACTGACTGCAAGTTAGATGGGAAGTTAGAACATAAGAATGGCCATACTGGTTCAGATCAATGGTCCATCTAGCCCACTATCTTGTCTCTAACAGTGGCCGATGTCTGATGCTTCAGAGGGAATGAACAGAACAGGGCAACTTTGAGTGATCCATCCCCTGTTGTCCAGTCTCAGTTTTTGGCAGTTGGAGATTTAAGGATATGGGGTTGTGTCCTTGTCCATCCTGGCTAATAGCCTGTCAAGGTTCCTTCCCCACTCTGAACTCCAGGGTACAGATGTGGTGACCCGTATGAAAACCCCCTAAGCTTATTTTTACCAGCTTAGGTTAAAACTTCCCCAAGGTACAAACTATTTTACCTTTTGCCCTTGAACTTTACTGCTGCCACCACCAAGCGTCTAACAGATATAACAGGGAAAGAGCCCGCTTGGAAATGTCTTTTCCCCCCAAAATCCTCCCCAAACCCTACACCCCCCTTCCTGGGGAAGGCTTGATAAAAATCCTCACCAATTTGCAAAGGTGAACACAGACCCAAACCCTTGGATCTTAAGAACAATGAAAAAGCAATAAGGTTCTTAAAAGAAGAATTTTAATTGAAGAAAAAAAGTAAAAGAATCACCTCTGTAAAATCAGGATGGTAAATACCTTCCAGGGTAATCAGATTCAAAACATAGAGAATCCCTCTAGGCAAAACCTTAAGTTATAAAAAGACACAAACAGGAATATACATTCCATTCAGCACAGCTATTTTATCAGCCATTTAAACAAAACAGAATCTAACGCATATCTAGCTAGATTACTAAGTTCTAAGACTCCATTCCTTTTCTGTTCCCGGCAAAAGCATCACACAGACAGAGAGAGCCTTTGTTCCCCCCCCCCCCCCCGCAGCTTTGAATATATCTTGTCTCCTCATTGGTCATTTTGGTCAGGTGCCAGCGAGGTTATCCTAGCTTCTTTCACCTGTTAAGGGTTTTTAAAGGTGTTTACCCTTCCCTTTATATTTATGACATAGCCATTAATAGACCTGTCCTCCATGAACTTATCTTATTACTTGTTGAACCCAGTTATACTGTTGGCATTCACAATATCCTCTGGTAATGAGGTCCAGAGAGTGTGTTGTGTGGAAAAAGTACTTCTGTTTGCATTTAAACTGGCTGCCTATTAATTTCATAGGATGACCTCTAGTTA